GTTATTGGCTGATTTCTTGATGGTGGCCATTGTTTCTGGGGTAAGATAAGATCTCAGCATTGTTTTAATTTGCATTTCTCTCATGGCCAGAGATGTCGAACATTTTCTCATTTGTGCTTCTTCTGAGAAATGTCCCTTCATTCAGTTGCCTCCTTTTTTAGTGGAGTCTTATTTGGGGGTGGGGCTAATCTTTTTGCGTTCTTTAGTGCTAATGACCATCCAGTCAGTTGGAATTTGGGGCAGAATGTTGTGGTTTCAATCTGGAATGTCCCCTGAAATCCTCATGTGTTCAGATATAGGGCTTTGGGAAGGTGACTGAATCCTGAATGTACTCTTAGGAGGTAGGGTCTGGCCACAAGAGGGCAGTCACTGGGGTTGTGACCTGGAAGTTATGTCGCCCTCCCCAGCAGCTCCTTCTCCCTCTCCTTCCTGTCCACCGTGAGGTGAGCAGTGCTGCTCCAACAGGCCCTTCCACATGCCTCCCTGCCTTGGAGCCAGCCGACCAGGAGCTGTAAATGTGAATCAAAATGACCCCTCTCCTCCTTTAAGTGGTAGGTTAGGTACTTGGTCCCAGCAATCAGAGCAAGATGAAGACAGAATTTCTAGTCTGAATGTTAAAATGGGTTACTTCCACCCAGACTAAAGAAGGACTACTATCAAGATAAATAAGTTGGTCTCAAAAACCATTTGCATCTATAATCTCCTGGAGGAAGAAGTTGTGCTTATTGAAAAGTCTAAATTCCATGAAATCTTTTGAATAAGAATCTCCAGACTTTGGGTCTGAGAATATGTGTTTTAGTTAACTCCTCAAATGACGCTCCTGTTTCCTGAATCCAGCCCCTTCTTCATCACTGAAAAGAACACTGTATTAGTCAACTTTTCATCTCTGTGACAGAATATCTAGGAAAGTCACCCTCAAGGAGGAAAGATTTATTTTGGCTCAAGGTTTCAGAGCTAAGTTAGCACCATGGTAAGTTAGCACCATTGCGTTAGGTCTATAGCAAGGCAGAAAGAACATGGCAGATGAGGGTGGCTAAGGAAAGCTGTGCACTACACAGTGCAGAGGACTGTGATACCAACTGCACCCAAGGCAGGCTATGAAGAGTCAACCCCACAATCAGCTGTTTATAGAAGCAGTCTGGCCGAAGCCTATATACTGAGGTCAGAGTGACTCCACCCAAATTCTGTTCCCACTCCTAAAACCTTCTGACTAGAAGGAAAACGTTCTAATTACAATCATGTATTTTGTCTATTCTACTCTTAATTTGATGATGCTTTGTCTTATCCTTTATGAGCCTTGTTTACATTAATTTCCATAGAAACCACACGTCGCCTTTACCCCAATTGATTGCCAATAAAAGTCAGTGCCTGGGACTGACCAGTGACTTTGTTGGTTGCACCAGCAATGGTCGTTGTCCTGGCACTCCACTCTCTCTCTTAATTCTGACTCCTAGTGCATTCTTTTTCTCAGGCCTGCATAGCACACTGGGCAGGTGGGGACTGGAACCTGACTACAGGGGTCTCTGGCACACAGTGGTCAGAAAGCAGAGAGAATGAGGAAGCCAGAGCAAGAGGAACGGGCAGCGACAAGATGCACCCTTCAAAGACATGTCCCCAGAGACTTACTTCCTCCCACCTCTGAAGGTCCTTGCATTGTTAATCAGACCCTCAAGATATGAGTCTTCAGGGACACTGCATACTTAGAGCATGATAGTCTCCAATCATAAATTGAGAAACCTGATGCCCACTTGTAAAGAAGCATAGCAAGTCTGAGGTCAAACTAAAATGTATAGCTTCATGTCATGTGACATACTATGAGAAACAGTTGCAGATCAATGTGTGTAGTATGTTCCTACTTAAAAATTATGTTCACATAATCACATATGCCAGTGAAAATTATATATGGTATAAATATATAAGAACTGCAAAGCTATATACCTAATAGCAGCAATTATTGTTGGGGCTTACAAAGTAATCTCACTTCATACATGTTATGGTGTTTGAATATTTATGGTGAAACTGATACGTCAGAGGAAAGCAATAATTATCATGTATCATCTCTCTCTCTCTCTCTCCCTCTCTCTCTCTCTCTCTCTCTCTCCTTCTTCCCTTCTACCTACCTATTGTTCCATCCATCCATGCATCTCCATGAAAACACCACTTTGGGATTCACATTTAAGTCCTCCGAGGGCTTCCACCTCACTGAGTCACAGGAGAACAATCTGATGGCTGAAAACTCACTCTCTAGACAGACCACGGCTCCAACCTGACTCCATCCACACTTTCTGGGGATACGACTTAATGTGATAAGGGGTTACTTCACCGACACTCTCGTTTTTATTTGCAAATGAGACCAAAAAGACCTACTTCACCTCTCAAAAACAACAAACCCAAACTCATCATCAGAAAAAAGAGCCGACAAATTCCATTGGAGAGGTACCTGGATTGCATGGCCAGAATTCCTTAAAGCTGTCAACATCATCAAAAACAAGCCAAATTAGAGAAATTGGCATAGGGGAGAGGAGCTTGGGAAGACAAGATAACTAAAAATAATGTGACATCCTGGATGGGATCTGGAATGGAGAAAGGACGGGGGGTCGTGCTGAGATTTGGACACCATGTGGGCTTTAGTGCGTAACAATGTCTCAGCACAGTTCATGCATTATAACAAATGTACCACTCCAGTGCAGCATATTAATAATAAAGGAAACTGGGTCCTGAAACATGAAAACTTTCTGCACTAGTTCTTAGTTTTTCTGTAGAGCTAAAACTATTTATAAAAATAAGAACAGAAAACCCAAGTCATGGGGTTTCTGTACAGCATGATGGATTTAATATTACAATTTAGAGCCTCACAGGCAGAATGGGGCCCATTGAACAGCAGTGGTCACTTCCACGATCCCCAATCTCGTCTCCTCTCTCCCCCCACTGCTAATCCATGGGGATGCCTTGTAGCCGGAAGGCTCTGGGCTGTCTGACTGAGATTTCTCTGCATGATTCGTCACCTGAGTCATGCTCACCATCCTCTCCTCCTCCGTGGATCTGTCTCAACGACGCTGTCATTTGCCATTTTATTTTCTTCATTACCCAGCTGCACGCAGCCCTTAAAATCATTCAGCATTTTCTTTTATAAAAAAGATGAGGAGTCACAAAGAGTAGCCACACAGACTCTCAAAGGCCTAAAATGTTTATCATAGAACCAGACTCTAGGGTCCAAGGGAGAGGCCTCTGCTGGCCCTATTCCCAGCTTCTGTGCATCTGTGCTGGGTAAGAGAGGAGAGAGGAAGTGTTTCTGTGCATAAACCCAGGGATGATCACACCGGCTATCTGTGCCGTTGGGTCTCCTATGACCTGATCATCAAGCTGAAATGCTCTCCCGTGTGACCCCAGAATGACTTGAGTCTCCCAAATGGAACTTCATACATGTGTTGGGTGTTGTGATTTATTAGGGGAGAAACGGAAATTCATTTCACTGTGAATCCATCTCCCCCAGAAGATGCCTAAGTGCTAAGCCATTTTCTATAAGCTCGCTGTAAAGCTGCTGCTCCTTTCTGCTGCTGGGTGGCGATGACCACTTGTAAAAGGAGGAACTGCAAGAGGAGGTTAATGGGCCACCTGCAGATCAGTGCCCCAGGCCCTGCTGGCAGGAAACGCTTGGGTTGCTTGGCTTCACAGGTAGCAGGGATGCAGAAGCTGTCGCTGTCCACCAGCAGGGAGAGAGGGCAGCACTCCTTGGCGGTCCGTGGCTGTGCTTTGATCGGGAACATCTGCCCCAGTGGGTGTCTCCGTCCCTAGGAGTCCCCTCAGAAGGAAACAGATTGGCTCGGAGCTATAAATGGACCTGGAGAGAGCCTGTTTCTAAAGATGGCCTCAGCTGCAGTCACTGCTGAGGTGGGGGAGGAGAGTTTCTCAAGAGGACTTCCGTGTTCAAAGGTCTCCCACCACGCTCTTCCAGTGTGAAGTTTCCACGGTCCCCAGCCACAGTCACAGGGCATGAAATCCAGGGAACCTTCTGAACTCTCCAGGGAAGCTGCTCCAGGGACTTGTGATGCCACAATTGTGAGGCCTCCAGGTTCCCGGGGGATGGCACTCCCTTTGGAATTCACAGTCAGTGCGAGGCTGTGTTCACCCCATTTAAGGTCTTGCTAACCTTCTATTAAAATAAATAAATATGTAAACACCTAAGGCATAAATAAATATACGAAATTATATTAATTCACATTCTTTTCCCCCTTAGAATGCTTTACGTACTACCATGTTTTTCGGGCTGAGAGCAACATCTAGCACATGATGGGCCTCAGCTCAATGCTTGTTGAATGAATGAACTATAATAATTTTAGGAACTATAACAATGCACAAACCATCAGATATTTTCCAACTTATTAGAGAAAGCAAACAATCCTTCCACCCATTCATTCATTCACTCAAGCATTTTAGGAACGAATATTTAGTGAGTCTTCTACAAATCACCAGGAAAGCCTGTCACAGAGTGACAGGAATTAGCGTTAAAATCCAATGAATTATTGATTTCCATAGAGGTTGTATTATGAGATTCCTCAAAAAACTAAAACTAGAAATTCCACTCAACTCAGCAATTCCCTTTCTAGGCAGCTTCCTGAAGGAGTGGAAGACATCAAACTGCAGTGACCCATGCACAGTTGTATGTCACGCAGCACAACATACCTACATCATGGAAGTGACCTCTATGTCCATCCGCAGCAGAATGGATAAAACAATGTGGTATTTACACACACAAGAGTTCTACACTGTGATGAAGAAGGAAACATCGGAGTCATTTGTAAAAAAAAAAAAGAAAGAGAGAAATGGATGCACTTTGTGACCACAATGTTAAATGAGTCAGACACACAAATTGAAATATTGCATAACTTCTCTTACATGAGAAACTCAAAGCATAAATAATTTAAACCTACAAAATAAAAGACAGATAACAAGAAACTGAGCTAGATCTCTTGTAAATGGGAAGGGGATTGAGAGGGGGAGAGGGAGAAGAAAAGGAAAGATGAAGAATTAAGGTGTGTTCAGTACATGCGGCTACTCCCCACGAGGAGCACGACCACTGTGCACTAACGAGCTAAAGGTGTAATGAAGAAAAAATTAGAAACGAAAACAAACACTACAACAAAACCCTCCTCCAGTGACTCTGTAGCGGAGCTGCCTTGAGGATCACAGCCCGGGGTCACACCGGTCCCCTCCATTGGGCCTCAGAGCCAGGAAGAGCTGAGCTTCTGGGAAACAGCGGAGGCCTGATCTTCCGGGCAGTGTTCACCCACTGCCAGCCGGGTTTCTCACTGATCCTTCGCGGAGCAGCGCAGGCCGATCTCCTCGGCCGCAGCGCTCACCAGGAGGCACACCTCCTCCTTTCCTCTGAACTTGCCCCTCCGAACGTTCCATGTCGACTTTCATTGTTCTCTGGATTTAACTTCCATTTTCTTGTCCAACATTTTTCATCCGTGAGAGCAAAGCAGACAAACAGGCACATTCATAAAGGGTCCCAAGCCCTGGAGGGAACAAGGCTGGGTTCGGAAGCGCAGAGGCAGAAGCACGTCTGGGGCCATCTGTAATCAGGCTGTGTGGGGGAGCGGACCACTCCTGCCCCAGACCGAGACCTGCTTGGGATCACTACACCTCAGCCACAGGCAGTGTCTCATGCACGTCAAGGAGACAGGCGGTCGTCCGCCCAGGTAGTCGAAACAGAAGCACACGGACCTCAACTACTGACCAACCCAGAAAGACGTGCCCTAAATACGAAGACGTCATAGTCCGAAACGCACCTTCCGTGCACATTAAAGCCTCACCCTGCAAGTCACAAGCCCGGGACCGCCAGGTGCTCCATCTCCATGGCAGCCGTATGCATGGGATAAACAGAGGCAAAGATTCGTTCTTTGAAGATTCAATGCGACCGACCTAACCCAGCCATCACGGAAAACCATGTCGTACAGGAACAATGTATAACTTTAAAGGTTGGTCAACTACTGGGACTGCAAAAAAAAAAAACAGAAGACCAAGAACAGGAAGGTGTCCCCGCCCCCTCGAGCGCAGCACTAACAGACCAGGTAGGCTCCGGAGGCTTCAACTTTTGGCGGGGGGGCATTCACATGGGCCCGACCAAGTCTCGCGAGAGCTAGATTGTCCCGTCCAAAGTCTCGCGAGAGCTGTGGGGAGGTTCTCACGTGGCCTCGTGTCTCCTGAGGTGCGCAGTGTTTCCGGCGGGCTCGGGCCGGGGTCCTCGGCAGCTGGCCAGCGTGTCGCCAGGGCCTGAAGGACACGGTGAGCCGCCGCCCCTGGTCCCCAGACCTGTGCTTCTGGCTGCGGCCCCTGCCCTGGGGCGGCCTGCGGGCGACGCCTGCTTCCTGCCCTCGGCGGCTCTGAAAGTTGACGCGGCAAAGCCTGAAACGGGCCGTGAAGCTGCACGAAACTGCCCGACATATGGAGGGTTTCACATTTTGAAGCCCGCTCAGCAGCGTCTGTGTGCAGTACGTAACGATCGTGTCCCTTGCGCACACCCACGTCACGCTGTCATTCTGACTTCTGCCCCCTTCCTCTCCCCTCGCTCGGCCTCTGGTTCCCGGCCTTTGCGCCAGAGATGTTTTCACCCAGACCGCTCCGCAGGTGGAGATGGAGGGCGGGCGTGAGTGCCCGACCCTGCCCAGGGCGAGCCCAGGGACCCAGCCTGTGCAGCAGGAGCCACTGCCACCGGAGCCAGCGTCGGATCTGGGCCCCAGCTTTCGGAGTCCGAGGGCCTTGAGTCGGCTTTAACGGTGAGTATCCGCGGTGACCGCTCGGGCCAGCAGCCCTCAGGTGGAGAAGGGCAGCGGGCCCGGGGTGGGCGAGGAGGGGCTCTGCTCTCCGCCCCCATCTCCTCCAGCTCGGGAGAAAGAGCCCCTGGCCACGGAGCACGGGCACCTCTGCTTCCGCGGCAGAACGTGCGGTGTAACACAGGAAGGAGGGGTCCCGGGCCTTTGCTGCCTGGGTCTGGATTATCTGAGTTCACGAACCCGCTTGTGAAAATGAATGAGACAGTGCGGAGGAAAGACGGGCCTGTGTAGGGTTACTGCCCCCTGGCTCTGAGCCGCCCCCAGTGAGCTGCGGCAGTTTGTTTCCCCATCGATACATACCCGACTTTTACATTTTTCTCAGGTGCCTTTTATTAAAGGGGACTTTATCCCCTCCACACAGCTCAGGCCGTCCGGAGAGCCCTAGAGATAATTGCTAGCAAGTGTCTGGCAATCACATGACCTATACAAAAGAACTCTTTGTAAAGTTCAAGATCTTATAAAAATGAAGTTGCTCCCTATAAAGTATTTTTAAAGCTGGGCATGGTGGTGCCTGCCTGCAGTTCCAGAACTCAGGAGGCTGAGGCAGGAGAATCACAGCGAGTTACAGGCCAGTCTGAAATACATAGTGATCTCAAAAGGCCAACCTGAACTGCATAGAGAAGACCCTGTCTCATAAATTAAAAAACTTTAATATCTTTTTATTTATTAGTATCCATAAGTTTAACGAAATTATGTGTTTTTGTACAAGCACATAAAGCATTTGATCATGCACTCCCCCATTACCTTCCCTTACTCCTCCCTCTCTGCTCCCTTACTCCCTTTCTCTTGTTAATAAAGATCTCCTTTCTACTCACATACATTTTTTCTTAGATTCCACATAGCACAAAATGTGTGGAACATGCAACGCTTGTCTTTGCTTTTAAATGTTTACAAGTCCTTATGAGTGCGTGTTCACAATACACGATGACTGCATTCCTGGTGTGGAGCTTGGACACCGACAGCACAGTCTCCATTCTCTTCCCTCCCTGGCCTCCTCCATCTCTGCACACATGCTCAGGGAGGGTTCTCAGGCTGCCTGGGCTCCTGTGGTCACTGGTGGAGAAGTCCCCCACCTGCTGCCATCTGCAAGCCGAACACCCAGCCTCTGGTGGTGTGAATCTGTTCCAGAGATGGTTGTGGACACAGCCGGCACCTGCCGGACTCGCTATGTGGGGACCCCACGGGTGTCCAGGGAGACACCTACAGTCAGGGTTGCGTGCTGCCTCCCCTGTGCCCACAGAAGGGTGGCGCTCTCTGACCTCAGCAGATTGTGGACTTCTCCACCTGGGACACCGCCAGGGATTCTGCTCTGGGGAGAGAGCTGGCCTCACCATGCCACGTAGCCCCAGGAATGGCCTGCGTGGACCTACTTTACAGGGAGAAATTATCTCAGGACTTCAGGAGTGGAGAAATGATTTTAGTAGTGTGTTATTTAAATATGTGCAACACGAAACTAAACATAAACTCCATATGTTCCTAGTCCTTATGATGTATAAATAGAAAACCAATTTAAATTAAATAGAAGCAAACTATAAAAGTAGTAAAATCTAAATTAACATTACATTTATATGTCAAATGATTCTCGTGCTGAAGTTAAATAGCCAATCTATTGTGGGGCATGTTTAGAGCACTGCTGCCACATAATTACCCAGTTTTATCTGTGCTGAGCACTATTATCCCTTGTGCAGACGTGTTTAGTCTTCACATGGCATGTAATGACTAAGGTGTGCGTGTGAAACCTGCCCACCACCTCAGTTAATGGGAGCAACAATTAAGCCTGCTATTGTTTTTTTTTTTTTTTTTTTTTTTTTTTTTTTTTTTTTAATAGGTCCTCCTTTTTTTGTTGTG